TTTAAAGATTTTATTTATTTATTTGACAGAGACAGAGACAGCGAGAGCAGGAACACAAGCAGGGGGAGTGGGAGAGGGAGAAGCAGGCTTCCGGCTGAGCAGGGAGCCCCATGCGGAGCTCGATCCCAGGACCCTGGGATCATGACCTGAGCCGAAGGCAGTCGCTCAACCAACTGAGCCACCCAGGCGCCCCTGTGACCAACATCTTTATGAAAAAAACCTGTGCTTGAATGTCTGATTATTTCATTTGGATAAATTTCTAGAAGTGAATTTTTTTATTTAAATATTATGAAAATATTTAAAGTTCTTTTAACATTGTCATAGTTTTTATTTTTAATAGCTTAGGCCAGTTTTTAAATGGTGTTTTAGTTAGGTCTAGGTGTAATAGGCTCAGAGGCAAAGGCTATGATATATTTTGATCTTTAACAATTTGTTAGTTCAAGATTAATTGAAATCAAAATTTGTGTTAAGTCTGATTCTCACTTCACCAAGTTTGATATGTCCATTAGTATATCATTAACTTCTTCTTTTGCTTTTTTTACCCCTCCCCCAGGTATAGTCCTAGTAGCTATAAATCCTTATGAACAGCTGCCTATTTATGGAGAAGATATTATTAATGCCTATAGTGGTCAGAATATGGGTGATATGGATCCACATATCTTTGCAGTAGCTGAAGAAGCTTACAAGCAAATGGCCAGGTTGGTGAAAGCTCTGTTTATTTTTTCATGACTCTTATTAGTTGTGATCGTTTCTTCTTTGCTGAGTCACAGATATTTTGAAACACAGTGAAGAGCAACTGGTAAATTATTATTAATAAACAGCCTTGACTATTTCAGATGGCCTGCATTATTATTAAAATAATATTTATAAAAGGACATATTTATAAAAGGACATATAGTTTTTAAAAACTGCCTTTGGAATCTCCTCCCGATCCTGTGACTATGCAAGGACAGATGTTATGTTTACAGATGAGAGGATCAAGGATTGGTGGTTTTAAGTGATACGCCCACTATCCTTCAGCTAATGAATGACAGACTAGAAATAAAAGGCCTAAGAGCAAGAAGAATCTGTATCTTAGAGAATTAAATATCAAGGAAACTGTGAATTTAATGTTACTCTTATGTTCTAGAGACCAGTGATCCTGAACAGCATCAGTAAAATGTCTTTGATATTAACCATGGAAGCCTAACATTTTGAGAGTAGAAAACCAGAGAAAAAAAGCTACTTTCAAGGCTAGATTTTACTCTTAATAATGTAGTATAATGTAAATCAAAACTATGGATGTATAGAATAGTATACATTTAACTCATTTCTCCAGTCTTCAGGTAAGAACCAGCATATTATAAATACGATGTGGGAAACCCTCAAGCAATTTATGAAGTTGAGAGAAAAGTAATACTGCAGAGGTTTTATTTTCTCCTTTCCAACCAGGGAGAGTGTTTGTACATAATTGGGCCAGCATGTGACAGAAATTTAGAATTATTTCATTGACAGAGTTCATAGAAGTCATTATGCCCTTTTATTAATAAAATATTACTTCTAATAATCATTAACAATTATTAAGTACTCTCTCTGTGCAAGGCACTGTTTAATTGCCTTCCATTTTGTTAAGTAATTTTATCCTCACAGCAACCTTCTGAGGTTGGTATTATTATTAATCTTCATTTTACAAATGAGAAAACTTAATCACTGAGAAGTTATTTAACTTTCCTAAGGCCACATAACTAGGAAGACTAGCTTTCAAATTCCATTAGTCTAACACTATGAAATATTATCATATTAGATATGAAATGACTAAATACAGTTTTGTACTACATTACATGCTGTATTATAGCAGATTCTGTTATAAAATGGGAATGAGTGTCAAAAGTGTAAGAAAGGCTACTTTTTTTAAGGATTTATTTATTTGAGAGAGAGAGTACATGCATATGAGTGACGGGGAGGGGCAGAGGGAGAGACTCTTGAAGCAGACCCCCCTGCTTAGCGTGGAGCTCCATGGGGAGGGGAATTGGCGGGGGCGGGGGGGGTGCTCAGTCCCACAACCCATGAGATCATGACCTGAGCCAGACCTAGAGTTGGCTGTTCAACTGACTGAGCCTCCCTGATGCCCCAGAAATGTTACTTTTTTAAGCTTTTAAATTCCATCCATCAGCATAATTTTTTCCCTAAGATGAGAAAAGCCCACCCATATTTGACTTGTGTAGTACTGGAGCATTCGATACAATGTTAGCACCACACAAATACAGCCAGAGAACTACCAGGCAGAGAGGGAATTGTGTGGAGTGTCAGGACCTAAAGATTGTCTCTGAAAAATGTTATACTGCTCCTAGAGAATGATACGACTTCTTTGAAAATACTAATCTTAAATACGAAGGTTTGGTTCTTAGCATTTTTGTGACAGGAAATCCAAGAAGAGTGTTAGATTTATATGACTATTTTGGCTTTTCAACCCTGGATTTACTGTTTCCTAACATCCCCCGCCCCCCATTATTCCCCTGTGACTCAGACAGTCAATGTGACGACTGCAGGTTTGCTTGTTTCTTTTCCCTTTGCTCAGTTTTGTTTTTTAGGCAGTTTTAAAATAGGCTTCAGTCAGTTATGATAAGTTTACCATTTATATGAGTAAATCTGTACACATAAAATGTGCTGCAACAGCTAAATAGACCATGTCTCTTAGGCATAAGGTTGGAGATGGATATTGCAGGCTCCTTTCTTATCATCTTTTCCTTGCCGAGTGAGATGTGCCGTATTTACCAGATATTAAACCTGGAGTTTCACATTGCTGGTACTCCTAGAGGCCCCTTACATCTTCAGGGAGTGTATGGTCACTTGTTCAGTAGACCTTTACTGCACACCATCCACATACTGTCCTGGGCATGGCGGACAGAACAGCAAACAAGTGAGACAAAATAGACAAAAATTCTTACCCTCACGAAGTGAGGCATGATAAACAAAAGTAAATAAGATACACAGTTTGTCATATATTAATAAGTGCTATCCTGGAAAATAAAGTTAGAAAAGTAGATAAGGAATGCTAGGTGGGCCAGAGGGCATATGTACTAGGCTAGGGGAAAGCCTCATTGTAAAGCTGCCTCCCCCCGACTTTTTTTTTTTTTTTTAAAGATTTTATTT